TTTTTTTTTTTTTTTTTTTTTTTTTTTTTTCTTTTCTAAATCAATCAACAGAATTATATGTATTGTATTCTCGATCTACAGAGGAAAATTTCTGAGAATCGCGAGAATTTATTCAGTCACTCGTTGATTGATCAACAAATTTAGAAAGAAAAGAGAAAGAACGTTACCGGCACGTGTGTAGTTTCGAATTCTCGAGTTTCACTGTTCGTCAAAGTAACTACTAAAGAGCGAACATTCGAAAAAAGTTGTGGGCGTAAACGAAAGAGCGTAAAATTGCGGAAAAGTAAAAAATTACAGACACTTGTAGTAATCGTCGCCTGTGTGGCGACAGCGATTAGGTAAGTATCCTTTTATAAGATTCCTTCCTAGAGACTAATCGTGAAAATTAATGCGAGATCGTCACAGCGTTACCCTGTGAACTGATCCGATAATGCTAGAAATTTTCAGGTGAGTCGCGCAGATTGGCAGACGCGTGGAGGGATAACTCTGTAAAACGGGTTATTTGATAAAAGAGAAAAAAAAAAAGAGGTCTGGAACGAAACACGTAAAAAAGACGGATTCTCTCGAGACTACATGGTCCTTCACTTTCTTCTATCTCTTCCGTTTCGTTTTACGATTAAGAGATACCCTTCTTTCGGGTCGTCTTCGACGGCCGCGTGAACCGAGTGACTTTATCTCTCGTAAATCGCCTAAATTGAAAAGCCATATTATACATACGTGTACGTATAAAAAAAAAAAAAGAACAGACAAAGAAACAAAAACAGCTGAAAGAAAAAAAAAAAAAAAATGCAAGGAAAAAAGTAAACGCAGAAAATGAACCAAAAAAAAAAAAAAAAAAAAAAAAAACAAAATTTCGCCAACAACAATCCCAAAAAAAAAAAAAAATGTCCTGTGAGTTGACGGCCCAATGTTTTGCCACTAGCGTGACAGCTATCGCCTGCGAGTACGGGCCTCCGACAGAGGGACGCAAGTGTTGCACGCAGACGTGGACGTTGAGTTAGACGTCGTAGACAGAAACAATAAACCACCTGTGTGGGATGCGAATGTATACGGCCCCATTCACATCAAAGAAAATGTCACAGTGGGTACTGTAGTGACGTCGGTGAAAGCCAGGTTTGTATGCCACGACATGACCGAGACAAGACACGTGACATGCCGTGCCGTGCCATGCAGTGCTAAACTCCCGCTAGTTTCTTTCTTTCTTTTCTTTTTTTTTTATTTTTTTGATTTTTTATATATATTTTCTCCAGAGTTTCTTTTTCACGTCTCTCTTTCTCACTCTCTTTCTCTCTTTCTCTCTCTCTCTCTCTCTCTCTCTCCCGAGATTTCGTCCAATTCTTTTTTTTCTTCGTCAGTACGTGCGCCACGCGTTACTGTTACCTACATACGCGACTTCTTCCACTTTTTTTTTTTTTTGTCAGAGTAGAACTTCAGATTGTGTCACCTTCGTTCAATGTTATTTTCATTTTCCCCGTCGCCAATGTTCGTTCTCTGTCTGCCATCGTGTGTACAACCTATTTATTTTCCCGTACGTACATGACGTACTTTGAAACAGGGAGAGGAAGCATGTATGGTTAAGCGCGGCGCGGTAGATCGTTGATTGGTCGGACACTCCTACTACTACTACTACTACTACTACTACCTACCTACTTACTACTTACTGTTACTACAAACTACTACTACTACTACTACTACCATTGCTATACTATTACCACTACTATCTATCCCTTAATTTACGTTAATTGTTACCAAACTCGCCGGGGCCGATTTTCCCCAAAAAAATCGGCGTCCTCGTTCGGGAAATCGACGACCGCCGTGAGAGCAAGCGCGAGAGAGCTTAATGAAAATCGATGTTCTAGAAAATTTCCGACGAACGAGCCGATCGATGGGAATCGGCCCCGGGCGACTTTAGCGGAAAACATCCCCTATAGATGTGTACGAGTTCGGAAAACCGGATGGCGGATTGTCCTTAGCGCGACGATCCGCACATACATATATATATATATATAATATATATGCATATATATATAGGGGTAGGCGAGAGGACGTAGCGAGAGGAAATACACACGAGCTTGCCGAATTATTTGTTGTTGTTCTTCTTCTTATTCTTCTTATTCTTCATCTTCTTTGTTCTTCTTCTTCTTCTTCTTCACGATGATGTGTACGCAGATACAGAAAACGGTGCAGGTGCAGAAGCTGGGCATCAGCTGGAACATGGTACCAACGTGCCCTCCGTTTGCCGTCGGCACGCTCAGCTTCCTGCTGGCGCTAGTCCCGCTTTGCTTAGAATGTAATCTCGCGCTAATAAGTGTAATCAATAAAATAGAGCGGTAACGAGCGGCTGGCTAATCTCAGTGAGGCGACCACGCCACCTGTCTCTCAGTGGCCTTCGTTTGTCGGCGGCGAGAGAGAGGAGTGGGGGGGGGGGAGAGAGAGAGAGAGTGAGACGATTGTCATGGCCACCCGGCGGCAGGCGGACGGAGAATCTAGGGGGAGAGAGATGATGATGATCGGGCGGATGCAGGAGAGCAGGACGCAAGGCCTACGCCAAGGACACGCCGGCCACGAAAATATGGCGCACGACGCACATCTGTGTGGGGCCGCAGAGATTTGAAAGAACGCGGGAGAGAGAGAGAGAGAGAAAAGCAAAAAAAAAAAAAAAACAATAAAACAGAGACGACAGAGACAGAGACCACCGCGTAAGAGGGAGAGAGAGCGAGAACGCGCGCACACACACACATAGACACGCGCGTGCCAGAGCGTGCTCCTCCCGAGACCCGAGAAAAAATAAAAAAATAAAAATAGAAATAAAAAAAAAAAAAATTATCACTGAAGCGAGTCGCTACGACTGACACTAACGCCATATTTGTTTTTTGTTCCCGTTTGTTATGTGACACGCGGTCCGGTGTAGCGTGAGATGTACAAGCTGGAAGCGATGGCCCAAGACAAGGGCTTCCCGCCCTTGTCGCGAATGGTGGAGGTACAGATTGACGTTGTGGACCGTGCGAATAATCCGCCCGTATGGGACCACATAGTGTATGGGCCGATCTACTGTAAAGAGAACATGGCCGTTGGGGCTAAAGTTGTGTCTGTTAAAGCCAGGTCTGTCACACTGTTAATGCTCCGTGCGGCTCTGCACGAACCCGCCCTGCACGCAATCTCGTGGCAGTATTGTTCTTGTGCACGTTAATTGATATTGTGTACGATTTCATACACACACACACACACACACACACACGCACATACATCTGTAAACTGACGCATACACACGTACACGCAGGTGTACACGCGCCTAGCGATGGGCTATCGATGATAGTACGATTCAATGATGACATTTCGATGAACAAAGGACGCGTCGGATCTTTCACTCTGCTCACGGAGTCTCGAATGGGTTTGCCCGTCCGGTGGAGAAGCTGTCCTGAAACCGTTGAAACTTCCCAAGTAGTGGTAGAAGCTGCATCAACCGCTGAACCGAGTAACGATACAGAGGACAATGTTGGTATAGATCGTTGGTATAGAGAGCTGCAGGGATACCATGTCGTATATTTCGCTGCATGCCATCACGTTTCGACACAGCCGCCGACGTTCCAAGCCATTTGAGATTCCTTTTTCATTTTTCTTTCTTTTTTTTTTTTCTTTTTTTGCGCCGAAAGAGAGAGAAAACAAGAGAGGTCTCTCTCGTGCCCATCGCTATGCTACGCGACGCGACGCGAGGCGGCCGACACACACACACATACACACAAGCACAGACGGACACGCATACACGTGAGGTGGTGAGCACGAGTATCCGTTTGAGCAGACAAAAAAAAAAAAAAAAAAAAAAAAAAAAA